CTGGCTCCTCTCCCTCTCCAGGGATCCCCCTTGCTGGCATTTGTGTCTGGAGTCTTCCTCTAGGTGTCTCAGTTCTCCTTCCTTTCTCTTTATTACTGCATCTGAATGAAGCCTCTGTCAGCCTCATACAAAATGATCCCCCTCTTTGGACTCTGTTTCATGAGGGATGCTTTATTTTTCTCATAGTGTCTATTACAATCTGCCAAACTATGCAGCTCCTTTTTTGAAAAAAGTTGCTGTCCTCTGTCTCTTTCTCTTAGGAGATGAAGGTAGACTTTGTCCATATTCTTTAATGCTATTATCTCTACTTTGTAGTGTGCCAGGTGTATGTACAAGTAGATAAGAAGAATTTGGACGTGACCTCGTACACAAATCATTAAACAGACATTGAAACTATGTATCCCATTTAAGTAGCCCCCATGTGTGGGCACACACACACACACACACTCAAGCATTGACATGCACTCACCCTGTGGTCAAACTGACATAATTCATTCCAGATCTTGGTTTTATTTTGATTGATAAAAATGCTCACTTTAGGGCCGAGAGTTTAGCTCAGTGGTGCTGCCACCCACCTCGCAAGCGCAAGGTCCTGAATTTGAACCCCAGTACAAAAAAAAAAAAAGAAAAAAAGAAAAGAAAGAAAAATAGAAAAGAAAAGAAAACTCACATGAGTGGGAGATTCACTAAAAAAAATTCTTTAATTCCATAATTTATTTCCATTCTATTTCAAGTAGAAATAAACCCCAAATACAGTAAAAAAGAATTATTCATGGTGAAACAACACACATGGTAAGAATATGTGTATCTCTAGGATTTTTGAAATTTTATCTGTAATTTTAGCATAAGTAGACAGACTTTTCAAGAAACGGAGCAAAATCACTAGTCTCATAAAATATAAATGGACCTGACCAAGATTTTACTTAGTTTTCTAACTAGTGAAATGAGATTAAGCATTAATTGGTCTAAAGGAGAAAAATGCACCACACTTTGTTGTTCAGTTGGGGATTTGTGATGCATTTACCAATAAATTCAAATACTTTTCATGCAATTCTTGGGAAAGTCAATAGAATTTCTGCCAGAAAAATTTGTAGTTGTATAAGCAATGATTATTTACAGTACTATCATCTTCTACAACTTAAAAGATTTGAGAAATACTTTTATTTCACTTCAAGATAGCAAAAGGCACAGATTTTGTAGACTCCTAGATTTCCATAACTCTAAGACAGTATCCTTGAACTGAAGAAAAAAATCTACAAGTGATCTAGAAATATGGCGACTGCTTAAATTTACCAAAAAAATCCCACCACACTTGCAGATCCGTTTCCATTAATCCCTCTCCGAATGCACCCCTCGGCTTAGCACACACGTATCCTACTGTTCTAAGCACTTTCATTGTGGTTCTGAGGTTTTCCTTCCATCCTCGTTTTTGACTTTGGAGTAGAGCCAAAAGTCTCACAGCGCCAGACTCGGGGAGCAAAGTGGATGAGGGCGCCCTGGAAAGGCTTTGAAAACCCGCTTTTCCACTGCACAGCATACGAGCAGCAGATACTGTATCCCTGCCTTTTTGCTAAATCTTATAAAGACACACACAACACTTCCCGAACTACTTCAGAAAGTGGCAAGGATGATGGGACGTGTGTTTGAAGCTAGGAGATGTATTTTGAAGGAGAGTAATGGCAAGGTGTCAGCTACCATAATATGGTCTAAAAATGTAAACACTTAACCACATATTTTGACCATCCCTGTAGTCATCTTTATGTTCTATCCAGTCCTTCCCAAGAAAGACTTTTCAAGAACATATTTTCACCGTACCAGAGGCCTTCTCACTGAGCTTTGTTCCCAGTCTCACATCTGTATCTACGTCTATATCCATATCTATCTCTTTTATGTATAACTTTCTAAAGATATGATCTGGCTACGTCACTAAATTGCCAAGGCTGAGACTGACTTACCTCAGCCTCCCAGAGAGGCACATACCACCATGCCTGGAGTAAGAAAGACTTCTAGGGCTGGGGATTTAGCTCAGTGGTGCCACCACCTGCCTCACAAGTGGAAGGACCTGAGTTCGATCCCTGGTACCAAAAAAGAAAAAAGAGAGAAAATAAAAAAAAGAAAGAAAGACTTCTAAAGTTGCACTGTGTAGTTTTCTTCTGGTAAGAAGTAAATGTATTTATTTAGCAGCTAAACTGCACAAGAAGTGCAAATAACTGTAGAATGAAATACGTATATGAAAAGGAAAACCACTTTCTCATTGACTTCTATTGGAGTCTGGACAAGAAATATGAAAATCGAAAAGAAAATTTGAAAAGAATTAGATTAAGACTTTGTCAAGTAAACTTTGAGTTAAAAGAAACTAATAAGGGCAGGTAAAGCCCTGCAGGGTCAATAGCAGAGGGCAGCACTGCTGAAAGCCTGAGGTGGGGGGAAGGCGACTGTGGGACAGGACAGGTCTGCAAGCCTTGTAAAGCTGCTCCCCAAAGAGGGGCACCCCTTAGCTGAAGTCTTAGTAGAAGGCACGCTTCCATCCAAACTGTGGGAGGCAGCCAGCCCAATAACCCCGACAGACTTTCTCTTCCTCCCTGACTCCTACATTCAGCTGCCACTGCACATGGGAAGGCGGTTCGGAGCTGGGAAAGTGACCGTGGGGACAGGCACAGTGTGACAGGCACGAAGGGGAATCTGTAGGATGGAAGGAATGGATCATTTGCACTTTAGTTTGGAGTTAGCTAGGGAAAAAACATAAGGCCATAGAGGAACTAGAGTCTTCCAGCTTATGTATTCATTTAATGTAATATTTATAAAATTCCTTATAACTCGATTACTCTGAACCAAATTCTTTGTCAAAAGATAATTAACATGTTTGCAGTGCACAGTGTCTCCACTCTTTGTGGGGAGTTGGTACATAGCACATTTTCACGCCTCATTTTCATCCCCTTTCCCTTCCTTCCCACCGGGCAGTTTCTTTGCAGCTTATGTAAGAGTTTCTAAATAGAGGAAGGGGTCGGGGAGCTGACTTTATACATCAACAGTGTGTGCAACTAGAATTGCAAAGGATCTTCCTAACTTTCTTAATGGCTGAGAAGGAGTCGGGTTTCTGCTCATGTCGGCTCCCTAGGCAGAGTTTTCCTTCGGGAAAGGCCTAGTGAAACTTCTTGAAATGACCAGTGAAACCTGTGAACAGTGCTGTAAAAGGGGCTCCAGCACCCTTGTAAGAAATTGAGATGGGCAGGTGCAAAAGTTGTTCTAGTCTCCTTTTAAGAAATTGAGATGGGCAGGTGCAAAAGTTGTTCCAGTCTCCTATTATAAAACCGAAATCACAGTGTGTTTCTTCTCTTCTGGAAAACCACCAAGGAGAATAGCTCACAGTACTAAGTTCCTTTGGTTTACCGATTATCCAGCACACGTTGGCTTATCACATTTGCTACGAAGGGTTCTGTTTTTACAGGTTAACTGACCACCCCTGAATTCAGCATTAGCATCGAAATGCAAGAAAACAGAAGGAATGTGACAGAATTCATTCTGATGGGGCTGACACAGAATTCTGAGATGCAAAAAATTCTGTTCTTCCTGTTGCTCATCATCTACCTTGTCACTGTCTCTGGAAACCTGCTCATTGTCATCACTATAATGTTCAGCCACACGCTGGACTCCCCGTTGTATTTTTTCCTGGCTTTCTTATCTCTGGTAGAGGCTTGCTATTCCTCTTCCATAATCCCTAAAATGCTAGTCGATTTGCTTTCTGACACAAAAGCTGTCTCATTCAGCGTTTGCATGGTACGGCTCTTTGTGGAACATTTCTTGGGAGGTTCGGAGATCGTTCTCCTCGTGGTCATGGCCTACGACCGCTACGTGGCCATCTGCAGACCTCTGCGCTACGTGACCCTGATGAACCACAGCAAGTGCTGCATCCTGGTGGGGCTGTGCTGGTCGATGGGGTTCCTCCACTCCTTCGGGCAGATTCTAGTCACTTTCTGGCTCCCATTCTGCGGCCCCAACAGGACAGATCATTTCATGTGTGACATCTTCCCCCTGATACAGCTGGCCTGCACCGACCGCTTCCTTCTTGGGCTCTTGGTTGCTGTCAGTGGCGGGGGACTGGCTATGATCACTTTTGTCATCTTGTTGCTGTCCTATGTGTGCCTCCTGCGCTCTTTGAGGACTTACAGCTCTGAGGGGAGGAAAAAGGCCCTCTCTACTTGTGGCTCCCACATCACGGTGGTCGTCTTGTTCTTTGTGCCTTGTATTTTCATGTATATGCGACCAGTAGCCACCTTTCGCATGGATAAAGCCGTGACTGCATTCTATACTCTTGTCACTCCCCTGTTAAATCCTATTATTTACACAGTAAGGAACGCAGAAGTAAAAAACGCCATTAGAATGTTTATGAACAGGAACACAATTTTAGATAGTAAATAATGTCATATGAAAATTTTATTTAATTGTCTTCATGATCTTCCTATCTCTGGGCCCTAAATTCCCAAATCCTTCAGGGGACAGATGTTACTGAAACTGGACATTACTGACCCATGTGCAGCTACTATGTTTTCCCTACATATGCAAATCTAGGGTAAAGTCCAATTTATAGATTGAAGATATTAACGATAATAGCAAAGCAGTTATAATAATACATTGTAATGAAATATCACACCTTGAAGCCTTATAAGCCGTTACTGTTTGCTTGATTATAAGTATTGTGTTACCACGACTGTTGACTTGAGAAACTTGTACAATGTTGCTATGGGATAATGGATGTCACAAGCCAGACAGAGGGACGTGGCATGAGATGTCTTCACACTACTAAGTGTGACATACACTTTGTAATTTATGAAGGGTTTCTGGAGTTTTCCATACAGCATCTGTGGACCACGGTTGACCACGGAACTATGGGGAAATGAAGATAATCAGACTTGAAATCTTTTGTTTGATCTCTTTCTTGCCTCTAAAAACATTTTAGCAAGGTTCACATTATGGTCATTCCTGTGGCAAAGATGAAGGAAAAAATTAAAGTTCAGAATGTTAAGTAACCAGCCCAACACCAGAGACAGAGCCAGTGTCAGATTTGCATTCTAGAGACAATTTGATAGCCTTTCAATGGACAGCATCGAGCACCATATTTTTTATTTTATAGAAAGACAGCATTTAGGTCAGAATATTTCTTGTTTTCTACAAAATTGAAAAAAATTTCTTTTCAGATTGCAGAAGTGCGCAACACTCCTACATTTACAGGCAGTTTCAGAAATCTGTGCTACCTCCTTTCATGAAAGCACTGGGTGAATTTTAGAAGAAAGCTGCTTCTCATGATCTCAGCAGACGCACAATGTACCTGACTTTAAAATTACATGACTTTTTTGTTCTGCTGAGTAAAAGTCCAGTGATTTTAAAACTTGATTTAAACCTATGTGAAATTTTATTTTTCCCACAAGATCACAACCACCTTACGACACTGAAATCTACTGTTCTTATTGTATAGAAAAAAAAGAGAAATCAGAAAAGTTAAATGACTAAATCATAGACCATGTACATACTCCTTGAACAAAAATACTATTCTTATTTCATTTCCTTTGATGCTTTTCTTATATAAAATTGTTTGGGCCTAATATTTGATTATGGTTTACTTTATAAAATATTCTTGGTTATATGTCATAAGAAATGTCAATTTACTAGATTAAATTTTTAAAAACACGTATGTGTAAAAATGTTCACAATGAAGGTAAATATTAAAAATGAAAACAATATGAATCACGGTAATAAATATTGATATTACTAGTATTCTTAGTTGTATGAATCTAAAGTCCTCTTTGAAAACTGCTTTAGACACACACACGGGCACGTGTGCACACACATGCACACACACACATGTGCACACACACACTCACTCATCATCTCTTGGAATGTGAAATCCTGTTCCTCAGGACATTGCCTGAAAGAAGACATTGCCAGAGGCATCCCCAAGCATGGATCTCCTGAAAATTTGAGCGAAAACAAGCCTTTCTTTACAACTCAAAAAAAATGAAAGGAAAGAAAAAGGGAAAAAAATAAATTACATTTTTTTAATGTGGCCAGATACAAAATCAATCCTCATAATAAATAGAGTTCCTATTCACCAATAACAGATGCTCCAAGAGAAATTAGGGAAACAACACTTTTCACAACAGCATAAAAAACAATACTTAGGAATGAATCTAAATTCTAAGGAAGTGAAAGCCCTCTACAGTAAAATCTGAAAAAAGGAGATTGAAGAGAAAATGGAAAGATATCCGCTGTTGACCAGTAGAGTCAAAACGATCATACTTCCAAACTGTTGTACAGATTCAACATAATCTCAGTCAAAAGACCTATAGCATTCCCCACAGAGGTGGAGAAAGCAGTCTTGAAATTCATACAGAACGAGAAGAGCCAAAGCAATTCTGGGCAACAAGGGCAAAGGCAGGGGCACCATAGTCCCTCATTTCCGGGTATAATACACAAGCTACAGTGATAAAAGAAGCATAATATTGGCAAAACAAACAAATAAACAAACAAACTTGTTAATCAGTGAAACAGAATAGAGGATGAAAAAACAGTTCAAGTCACACTTATCTATGTTATGTTTGATAAAGGGGCCAAATCCTTTTCCTGGAGGAAAGGCAGCTCCTTTAACAAATGGTGCTGGGGAAGCTGGGTATCCACATGCTAATGATTGAACATAAACGCCTATCTCTCACCATGTACTAAACTAAAATCAAAATGCATCAAGTATTTGAAGTTTATAATGGAAAACATTAATATGTTGGAAGACAAAATAGGTAAAACTCTTGGAGACAGGTGTAGACAAAGACCTTCCAGATAGAACGCTGGTTACACAAGAAATAATGCCAATAATCAACAAAACATGTCATTTCAGATTTTGCACAGCAAAGGAAACCATTAACTGAGTTAACCTACAGAAAAGTGAAAAATATTTTTTCAGCTACTCTTCAGAGGACTAATATCTAGAACATATAAAGAACTAAAAACAAACAAACAAAACAAAACAAAACAACCCCCCCAAAAAAGAACCCTCCAAATTTAAAGATTGAATTAGAAAAGGGGCATCTGAAATGTACAAGTACTTATTGGGTAAAGAAGTACAAATGTCTAATAAATAGGTGTACACAAAAATGTTCAATATCACTAGGCATTCAAGGAACACAAATTAAAACAACACTGAAATTTCATAAGAAATCATCATCAACAAATCAACCAATAACAATGCTGGTGTGGCTGCTGGGAAAAGGGAATCCTTCTTCATTGTTGGTGGGAGTGTAAATTGGTAAACCACTATAGAAACCAGTGTGGAGAGTCCTCAAAAACTAAAAATAGAAATTCCATTTGAATAGCTATTCCCCTTGTAGGAATGTTCCCCCAAAGTTAAAGATATCGTGCCATAGTGATGTACATTATATACATCAGGATTTTAGTTTCACAATTCATAACAGCTAAATCTTGGAATCGGACTGTATGTCCCTCAGCAGAAGAATGAATAATGGGCATGTATATACAAGGGAACACTACTCTGTAATAAAGAAGGATGAACTTGAATCATTTGTAGGAAAATGGAAGCACCTTGAGACCAGAATGTTAAGTGAAATAAATCAGATGCACAAGCTTAAATGTTGCCTGGTTGCTCTTATATGAGGAGCTCAATATATATGAATCAAGTGCAAAATGAAAGACAGATAGTAGGAAAAAAAAGAGAAAAATGTTACTGTAATTCATCATGGACAAAATATCTAAAAGCGTACCTTGGTTTAGTAGAAATATCTTATGTGTTTAATATATTATTTTGGCCTATTATATCTGGTTGTTAATCTGTATGTATGATAATTACCTTTAAAGGCTTATAAGATAAATAAATAAATCTGATGCTGGCAAAGAAGGGAGTAGAAGGGAAGGGAAAAAAAGAATTGAGGTGTGTTGTATACATGTACCAGTTTCCTAAGTGAATATAGTTGTGTACTGCAAATATGTAGTAAGAAAAATTAAAATGAAAAAGAAGAGAAAAAGAAAGAAGAAAACTGCTTTAAGAGATGGTTTATATGGTAGATAGGAAGAAGTTAGAAATAATCATTCCATATTTGAAAAAAATTATTTCTCAGTTGAACAATTCACCTTAATTACAAAACTTGGTTGTAAATAACTTTTGTGTCTTTAAAAAGATGCAGTGTATTTCCACAATGTAAATATGTTATAGCATACATAGATGCCTCTTGACAGGAAGAGCCAACCTCTCACCTCACAACTACCATGTTTCATTGAAGAGGTCAGTGAAACCTGAGATGTAACAATATTTAGCAGATATATTGTAATTGTAGACTCACAATGGACCAAGAGAATATCAGCTTCTGGATCAGCAAGGTAGGCTTTCATTCCAGGATCTTAAACAGCTCATCTTGTTTGTATAAGCAGTTCACTTAGAAGGTGTACATTTACAAGGTGTAAAAGTTTTGTGACTGTTTCTATACTTTCATTTTTATTTTTATTAGTATGTATTCTCAGTACTTAATGATTACATTCATCATGGCAAGCTGGTACATGTACATACACTAAATATTGTTACATTTTCTTCTATTTCAATTATAAAATGTAAAATTGGAAGAGTTTTGAGAGATTATCTATAGTAAGTTAGTAATCAAATGCATCTCTGAACGTTTTCATTTTTTGAACAACTTAGGAGATGTTGTAGCATGAAAAGATTTTTGGACTGGACTAAGGCAATATGAGCTCTCTGTTTGAGTGTTTTCTTGCCTTGAGAAGAAAACTCTGCTGACTAAAGGACATGTCACTGTCTATAAGAACACTTTGGCGAGTATCCATTATTTTGGGGTTTTTAAAAAAGATTATAGACCTTTCAAATATGATACTAATTCTTCCACTGGTTTCTTGCCAACTGTGACCTTATCCATGTTTAATTTCTCCTTCTTTCCTTCTCATTTACCCTTTCACTTTGAAATATGTATTTCTGTCTTTTTTGTAATTTTTCCACTCACTTTTTCTTCTGGTGTTCTGAAAACAGACCTTCCCTTAGACCTCCAAAAATTCTTCTTTTGAAAACTTTCCTTCATGGGCAACTCTTACTATCTTGAACTTAACTTTATGGACTTTGAACTTTCTCTGAGCTATGTTACTCTAGGTTATGGGGAGCTCAACCAGACAGGTGTGTGGATTCAAAAAATCTGTACTTATCATTCAAGTTATTTCAGTGGAGGCTGAACAGGTAATATGCAGTCATGGGTGGATTTGATCTTTCATTGGGTTGAGTATGATGCATTTTAAAGTACATGTTCATTTTCCAGTTGAACTCTCTGCTTCCATTCCAGAGTTGAAAGATGTTGTGGTTGTGTCCAGATGTGCCCCCAAAACCTCATGTGCTTATAGGTGGGGGTTTTGAAGGTGGTGGGAGTAGGTGTGTGTGGGTTAAGGGCATAAACCTGGGATTAAGGGTGTGGATAATGGAAGCCTCACTCTGGGTATGGATGGCACCAAGCAATAGATTTATAGCCTGGATGGAATGTAAAAGGTGGAAAGAAGCTGGGCTTGCTGTTTCTGCGCTGCTGCTTGCTGCCTTCTTCCTGCCTGCCATGGGCTGTTTCTCCTCGGTGATGCTCTGCCAACTACCTTGCTACCCTGTCTTGGATCTGCCTTGCTACTCTGCCTTGCTACCCTGTCTTGGATCCAGCTGACTAAGGACTGGAACCTGTACAAACTGTGAGCCAAAATAAACCTTTCTCTTTTAACTTTGTGTATTGGGTATCTAGTTTCACCAATGAGCAATGTAACAAAGATGAAAGACAAATGTTATCATAGCACTACATTGTTCAAATGTCTAGACAAATCAAATTTACCACAGGTCTCAGTTTTGTTAAACTGTTTTCTACCACACCGTTCAGAGTGACCATATCCTCCAGAGCCAACCCAGAGTTACAATTTCCCTCCCTCCCTTTCTCCCTCTCTCTCTCTCTCTCTCTCTCATTGGTATGTTTCAAATATTGGTTTCTTTTAGTAGAAAATGCCAATGTACCTCACAATTGGTCACAGTATAAAAGTGTCCTGACACATTGGTTATCATACAATAATCTGAGAGTGAGGACTCTGGCCCAGGATTCCAGAGCCTTGCCTTTTATTTATGTTGGTTGATGACGTTCTGACTCCCTCGTGTGGTTTTCTGTTATAAAGAGGTAAATTGATGCTTGTTTTCTTGTTACATAGGGATATTATTAGATTACATTTGAATGCCTGAAAAATGTGTGTTACAACTGTGAAGATAGAAATATAACTATTTTCACAATCATGCTGTTAATCTACTTTCAAAATTTATTATGAGAAAGGCTGCTTTGAAGAAACACTGTAAACTACTGGTGTGAAGTTCTTCTGTTACAATATGTGTCATGACTAGCATTTAATGTGTGCCCCCAAACAATATTTTAAAAGCATTATAGCAATGCAGGAGGTATTGATAAGGAAACAAAGTATAATAAAAATTTAAGAAGTCAGATAATTGCTCACCTAAATGTTTAATTTATATAATGTCAAATATCCTAACTCCACTAGTGAACTGAGTTTAGTTGTTATTAAATATCCAAATTCATTAGCAGAGGGCTGTTTTGTTTTCTCTTTGCACAGTGATTGGTCTGTGTGGATTTAAGGAAGAAGTTAACAATTAAAAATGAATGCCATGAAAGTGCTTACCTAATGTTCAGTTGAGTAAGGTGAAGTAATCGGGCTGTTGGCAGTGTCTGCTAGTGAAATGCCCCTGAGGTCTAATTAACCACAGGTAAGGAAGCCCAGAATTTGCCTACAAACAGGGTTAGATGGCAGTGGTTAAGACTCCAGAGAAAGGCATCTTCCAAAGGTGCCATATCAAAATCAGCAAGTGCTGACTGGAACTGAGCTACTTGACGTCTTAATCTTACAGCTTTCATTTTTCTCGAAGAACTAACAGCTGCCTTGGGTCTTGGCCATGGAGCTGTGTCCGACAAGTTGATAGGTGAGATATTTTGAAAGGGAGTCACAGTGATAGAATCTCAGGGTTCCATGGACCTCAAAAATCATATAATTACCCCTCGTTGCCGCTAACCGAGGCTTCAGTCTTTCTTCACCGTATTAAGCCCTGAGAAAGACAGAATAAATCATAATTCCCTAAATTTAGAAGTGATATATATTTAAACTAGAATCATACTAAATATTAAAGTTTGCCTTCTAAAATTTTCCAACTTAAGATTAGGACAAAAGAGTCTTCTATGATATTACCAATTTTAAAAACATCTCTGCTGTTTATAGGTATATTATTATGTACAATAATTTCTTTTATTATATGTTTTAGTTGCTAATTTTGGACACTGCATACAGTTTATAATTTTTCTCAGCCCTTAAATAATTGCATTGGACATATTTTTACATAATAACTTTTCTTTTTAAAAAATATTTTCCTTTAGGGTATATATCTAGGAAGAGTACTGTGAGGTCAAAGAAAAAAGACAGAATGATTTTTATTTCATCGAAGTTATTTCTGAATTGCTGTGTTGTCATATTCTTACTCTATGTATACTGTGCCCTTTTCACATCTGAGTGGAAGCTGTCCCCAGAGTAAGGGAATATAGTGAAACTGTTTTACTTTCTTTTCACATATGTGTAAGATTTTCTTCGTGGGTCAAAAATAAAACCCTTTGTCCATTTAATTCTGAAAAGAACAGAAACATTTTTAGCAGAATACTTTTTGTTTCACTTATGGGTTCTCTTTTCATTTCTTTGTAATATTTATGTCCCCATGTTAGGATGACTTCCTCCCCTTCTGTTAATAATGCAATAATCTTTATCCAAGAGCGATGAAAGCTATGGGAGAATGGGAGGGGACAGGAAACTGTATGTAGCAGAAACATAGAGGAATAAGGCTGATCATTCATCTTGTGGGTGGATGAATTGCTGCTGTGTGATAATAAAGTATCAGATGGATTCCTAGAGGCATTTAACAAGTCATTTTTATAATTATATGAAGCACATACATTGCTACACATAGTAAGTGTTTAATAAACATTTGCTAAATCAGTGAGTTTATAATATGTACTTATGGTAATTAATCTGTGTGAATCTGTGTGTGTGTGTAAGTTATATGTACTTTACCTTATCTAGCAGTCTCTGTATTTCACATTTTCTATTTTCACAACTTTCAAGATAAAGGTTGCTTTTACTTCATAGATCTTCATGATTGAAAAGCCAATATAAGAGAAATTTTTAGCCCAGTAATGAAAGTGTAAATTTACTGAATGAGACCATGTTGAATCATCTGTGGAATGTAATTTTGAAGAATAAACAATATTAACTATCAGTATAATGATCTTTTTCTTTTTTTGGTACCTTGGATTGAACTCAGGACCTTATGCTTTTGAGGCAGGTGGCAGAACCACTGAGCTAAACCCCTGGCCCATCAGTGTAATGATCTTGAGAGTCAAATTGTCCAATAACATGTTTTGATACTCAACCTCTTGAATATGCCAAAACTACTCAACTGGAATGTAACTTTTAAGAATGCATTTACATTTCTCCTAAAGCAGGTATGTACTGTGGATAGAGTGAGAGAATGAGAACATGTGTATTCATGGAGATGTAGGGATGTGGGCATTCATTAAGCATTTATCTTCAAGCTGGTGCCATACACTGAAGACATTGTGCCGGACACTATGCTAGGCGCAATGAGGAAATAGCCACTAGTATGATATGTGTGTGGTAGGCGCCAGGGAAGGTTTGTCCACAGTGTTTACACATTTTCCCCATCTGTCTGCTTAGATTGCCTTGCAAGATAGGTCTTGACCATGCCTTTGTTAAAAATTTTAAATTGTGGGTTCAAGAGTAAATTCTGGAAGACGGACTATGCTTTACCTTTTGCTGCACTTTACAACTTCCACAGCGTATCTCACACCTGTGACTGGTGAGCTCACCACCCCAGAGCAGGGGTCAGACTCGGGGAGATGGGATGACGCATCAAAGTCGCACGGTGTCGGAAATGGAGAATCCAGAGCTCATGAGCATGGCCCCGTGTATTCTTGTTAAATTGCCCAATGACTGATGCTTCACGAATGTTTTATGGGTGATAGAGCATTAGGTATCCAAAGAGACAGCATCCCGGGGGAAGTGGGGAGTAACAGCGGAAACGAGCCCCACTCCGTGGTTACAGAGACCTCTATCTCTGTGCTGTGAAAATCAGGCCACCACCTGTGCATGCTTAACTTCGTATCTCTATCTTGGGTAGGTGACTGAGGACCTGAGAAGGTGTTACTTCCTGGATGGATCACCCCGTGCCCCCCAATAATGTTACTGAATTTATTCTCTTGGGACTCACACAGAATCCACACTTGCAGAAAATACTCTTCCTTGTCTTTTTGTTCATCTTCTTATTTACTGTGCTGGCCAATTTGCTTGTGGTCATCACCATCTCCCTCAGCCCCAGCCTGTCTGCTCCCATGTACTTCTTCCTCACTTACCTGTCCCTCATAGATGCCTCCTACACCTCCGTCACCACCCCTAAAATGCTCATCGACCTGCTCTACCGGAGGAGGACCATCTCCCTGGGCGGCTGTCTGACCCAGCTCTTCATGGAGCACTTCCTGGGTGGCTCAGAGATCATCCTCCTCATCGTCATGGCTTACGACCGCTACGTGGCCATCTGCAAGCCCCTGCACTACACGACCATCATGCGGCAGGGACTCTGTCGCCTCTTGGTGGTGGTAGCCTGGATCGGTGGTCCTGCATGTGGATCGGTGGGGTCCTGCATGCCGCTGTGCAAATTCTTTTCATGACCCACCTGCCCTTCTGCGGTCCCAATGTCATCGACCACTTCATGTGTGACCTCTTTCCGTTGTTGAAACTGGCCTGCGGGGACACCTACCGGCTGGGAATGGTGGTGGCAGCCAACAGTGGAGCCATGTGCTTGCTCATCCTGTCCATGCTGCTTGTGTCTTACGCAGTCATCTTGAGTTCCCTGAAATTCCACGGCTTGGAAGGGAGGCGCAAAGCCCTCTCCACCTGCGGCTCCCACTTCACCATTATCGTCCTCTTTTTTGTACCTTGCATCTTCACTTACATGCGTCCCGTGGCTACCTACCCCGTGGACAAGTTGGTGACTGTGTTCTTTGCAATCCTCACTCCCATGTTCAATCCCATCATTTACACAGTGAGAAACGCAGAGGTGAAAAGTGCCCTGAGGAGTTTGTGGAAGAGGAGCGTAACTTAGCTTGTTCTCAAAGCCCAGAAAATGATGGTGTACGTAAAGTGGGAGGACTACATTTGTGGTAGTGCAAAAGAAGCAGCACATTTTACATGTTACTGATAAAAAGAAGAAGAAGAAGAAGGAAAAAAGGTAATAGCAGCCTTCCCAGAAACTGATTCCTGAGGTCTTGATACTGATACTGGCCAGGCGTTTTTGACAACTAGCACCTTCGCCAGGCCCATTGCCCAGGCTTCATGTTGGTGGCATAGATTCAGGGTACGAAATGCAAAAAAACTATAGTTCTTCAGCTTCAAGACCCCAAAATACATTTTATTCTAGAGTCTCGTGGCTACTTTACTGATCTCTGAATCTTTTAAACTTCCTGCTTTTCCAGTGTGAAGACAAACTAAGAAGAGACTAGGACCCTGTGTGGGTAGCTGACAGTTGGGAGTGAATAATTATGGATTTTATTCTCTTCTTTATGTTGCACTTGTGGCAAAAGAAACATGTGAAACACAAGATGAGAGACCCCCATAAAAGGGAGCGAGAAAGAAACAGGTTCTGACTTAAGAAATAAGCAACTGCTAACCGATCTGTAAAGTCTTTTATGGCTCAAGAAATAATAAACTGAGAATTTTGAAATTGCTCTTAATTTGTTCGTGTTTTCTTAAATATCCTCATGCTCACCTCAGTTTTTCTTGAATATAAAGGAAGGTGTTTATGCCTCCTGCTAATACATGAGAAACCTTGTAGAGAAACAAGAGTAACTATTCTTTTATTTAATCTCACTAAATGACATTTGGTAAGTTTCTGGAGCTATTGCTTCTATAGGTGTAATGCATGGATTTATGTTAAATAAGTGTTTTATTAGCTAGCAAACACACTTCAGTTAGGAGATTTAATCCATGTATGAAAAGAGGCACTTTCTACATTACTGTCCCCAGCTTACAAAGAAGTAATTCAAAACTAATAGAGATTTACTAGCATGTGTTTTCAGGGTTCACATCTTGAGAGTTTCAACCACAAAATTTAAATTCAGGTTTTTCTTCAAGCTTTCGGTTTGACTTTCTTCAAATAGAACACAGCTCTCCCTACGTTGATGACTATAGACAAGGAATTTACACATAGTCGTGATGATTCACATTGTCTTTGGAGAAAAACAATAGCACAGGTGTTGTAGTCCTTTCTCACATGTACTTGCATGTTTCAGCAGCAATGTTCTATGTACACAAAAAACACCTGTTCACTTGCACCGCTACATTACACTTTGTGGATCCTTTCTGACTGGACGCTCCCAACTTGTGTTTCTCACAAAATGTGCCCTTTCCCAAACTCACTGGTTACCTGAAGCTACTTCTCCCATAACTTAAGCATACGTTGACACTTGATCCAGGAACGCTGTCTTTGGGGAGTGGGTATGTCCTAGGTTATGCATGGATATCTCAAATTTAAGAGGAACAATGTTTCCCACAAAGCCCAGGCCTAGAAGATATAGAATCAGCACTTAAACTATCAAGAATGAAGAACTTTGTGATTGCTGGTGAGAATTAAACATTTCCACAGACACTGAACTAAATGAGCTGTGGTTCACTTTATGTGATGGTTGTTAGAAGATAAGGGTATGCCAGGAAGAGGGATGGGAGAAAAATTGAGGAAATGCCATTTCTCCTCTAAGGCAAAATGAGTTGGTACTGGGGATCGAACTCAGAATATTGTGCAGGCAGGAGTGATGCCGTGGAGCTAAATCCCTGGCCGCGAAGGCAAAAGGATTTGAAGTGGTAAATGATCAAAAGTTTGAGCCTAGCCTGGGTAACTTAATGGCTTAGCAAGATCCGATCTGAAAATGAAAAGTGAAAAGGGTGTAGCTCAGTGCGAAGGCCCTGCAGTCAATCCCCAGAAAGGGAGGAAGGAGGAGGAGGAGGAAGAGGAGGAGAGGAAGAGGAGGAAGAGGAGTAGAAGGATGGGAGGAGGGGGGTGAATTTCAATGAGGTTAAAGCAAATGTTTAGATTCCACCACCTCTTTTCTTCCTTTGTTACAGCGTTCCTTGCTAGCTTGATGCAAAACATCAAAACACAGAACTGACCACAGGTCACACTGTGAAGGCCATCTTGAGGCTGCTTCTCTTGCTGTTATTTGTTTGGTGGGAGCCCTCTCTTCCCTTCAGCTTTTCCTCGACCTCCACTTCCCGTACTGTTCATGCTCTTAGTTTTGCTTGCGACAGGGAAATGTACTCTGAGTATCTCCTTCGCATGCATCGTGCGAAGTGGGACGCGATGGGGTCAAGAAATGAATAATTAGTGGTCAAGTTTCCATGAAATTAACACATGTTTGAGAGGAAAATAAGCTATTCCATCATAGGGAGAATTTGATACTCTTCTGGGGCATAATGTTAGGCCTTTGAAGAACTAAATATTGCATCAGTAGGGATTCACCCATTGCTCTCCCATACTGTTAATATATATTGTTTGAAAAGTAGCTCAAGGGGCAGCTGAGTTTAAGAAGTTTTAACTTATTTTATGTACCTCAGAGTATTTCAGAAAATTTTATGTATCTCAGAGTATGTCAGGAAATTCTGTAGGCTGATGCTCGGTGGAGTGATAAAAGTCATGTTTACAAGGAATGTAAGTTTTGATCAAGAATACATGGATAACTGACAAGGGTGGTGATCACCTTGCTCATCGTGATGGCCCACGACTGCTACATGGCCATCTGCAAACCCCTGAGCTACACGACCACCGTGAGTCCCCAACTGTGCTGCCTGATGGTGGGAGGGTCTTGGGTGGGGGATCTACGGGGGGAACCAGACAGCTTCTTTTCATGTATCAGATACCCTTCTGTGGTGCTCGCTTCGGCAGCACATATACTAAAATTGGAAAGATACCCTTCTGTGGTCCCAGTGTCATTGACCACTTTATGTGTGACTTGTTCCCATTGTTGAAACTGGCCTGCACGGACACCCACACCCTGGGCCTCTTGGTCATCTTCAACAGTGGGGTGATGTGTGTGACCATCTTCCTCTTCCTCATCACCTCCTGTGTGGCCATCTGCTCCCTGATGTCTTGCAGCATTGAAG